TTTTGCTTTCCTGTCCTGTCGGTGTCTGTCCTGGATTCTAAAATGGGGTTGGCCATCTCTCTTGAACTTGTTCTTCGTTTTAAGGATTTTCAGAAGAAAGCTTCTTAGTCCACCCTGGCAAACTCAAGACCCTCTGCCATCATAAATGGACCACCTTCAAGATAGATTGGCTCTCTGAGGGCAAAGGGTACAGATATGTTCTTTCTTTCTTTTCGTTTTTTTTCCCATTCTAACCTCAAAACCCATGAGTCAGAAATTTGCAAGTTCAAATTAACTTTGATTTACTCTACACAGGTCATCATCTTTGGACAAGGACATGTAAACTTAAGACCCTACGCTGTGGCTTGGCAATACCCGTGGAAGAGCCACCTAAATGGCTCAAACCTCTCCTGCCACAGTCTAGCAGCATCCCTTCAGTACTTTCCCTCAGACACAAATCCCAGAGGGATGACGCACAGATGAGGACAACCCTCCTACCTAATATCCTCCACCCACTGCCTAACCTCCCTAGCTACTGGCTGTTCTCTTTCTGCATCCTCTACCTGCCTCATCTAACTCTATCTCTAACCCCATTCTAAGTCCCCTCTCATCCAATCCCAGGACCTTGTTTTTGCTGATGATAGGTAACTTAGAACATTCTCCTTTCCAGTGTCCTAATTCTCTGTACTAAGCACATTGGTTTCTTTGTAGGCAGCAAGTGGTAGGCTTCTCTTGCCCTTTATCTGTGGCCTGTCAGTTTTGAAATCTGGAGCTGGGCATGAGCCCTCTAGCTTCTTGGAAGACAGCCATCACAGCTCAAGCTATCAATTTTATCTGCTGATCACCTGGGATATCCCAATTATTAAACACTCCAGCCACAGCCTCAACCACTTTAGACAGGTCTTCTCTTTCAAAGCCCTCCAGTCTCTGAAGTTTCTTCTGGATATCAAGGCAGACTTGGTCACAAAGGCAAAATATTTATGGCCTTCCTGGTTTCTTCCATGTAGCAGGATATTTATCTGCTACATTGTATATGCAGTGGAGCTCAGTGATTGGGCAGTAAAAGAGGAGGTGGAGCTGGGAGAAGGAAAGAGGAAGGAGAGGGAAGGAGAGAGGCTAGCAACCATGGAGGAGGACGGATGGGTAGAGCAGTCCTGGGTAGAAACTTATATCAAAGGTTAGATATTGGGTAACCATATTGGTATCTAATTATGTGGGCATCTTGTTAATTGAGCATTTCTAAATATATAAATCCATTGGATAATCTTTAAGTTTTAAGAGTCTCATTTCTACTGGGTACTGTGGGTATAGCAGGAATTGTCTGGGCTCAGATGAGCTTTGTGGGGGCAGCGTGGTGTATTGGCAGAGCCAGCCACCACGCTGGTGTCTTATGGGTCTAGTTGTGGCACGCTTGGCCTTTGGCTGATTCTAGCTGTGGCGCACATAGCTTTTGGCAGCTTCTAGTGTGGAACATGGTGGCGGGAGGTAAGCAGAGCCGCCCCAACAATTAGTTAGCTGGCTCGCCGCATGGCTTTTCAAAATGTCTCCCGTTTCACTTCCACTTCTGGATCTACTGGGCTGTAAGTCTGATAGACTTCCAGGAGGCATTCCAGAAAGGCCAAAGGAGATTCTTCAGGTCTTTAAATAACTTGACTAACTTTTGACAAATTTGTAGGCCATCTGGGGACTTGTCAGAAACCCCCCAAGAGAGTCTGGCAAAAGACTTTAAGGGACTCCTTATTTGCTATCTTATTAGGGTCCAAATCTGGGTATGTGGATGGAAAAACAGTCCCAGTGGCTTTGGTAGAGCCCATATGGGTGCATCAGTATCCCCATCAGCCCAGAAGCCCAACAAGGAACCAGAATTTATATAGACAGACTGAGAGATTGGGAATCCTAGTATCTTGTAGGTAACTATGGAACAGTTCACTACTTCTCATATAGAAAGCAGGGACAAAAGATTACCAGCTGGTATAACATTTAAGGAAAGTCAACAAAAGGGTGGAGGACATTCACCTCACAGTTCCTAACCTGTATACACTGTTGAATATGTTATCACCAGAAATAACACACACACACACACACACACACACACACACACACAAAATCTTGTACTTAAAAGATGCTTTCTTCAGTATACCTCTGACCTCTAAAAGGATCTGGGCAGTTGTTTTAACAGACAACTAACTTGTTCCTGGCTACTGCAGGGTTCAAAAACTCTCCTACCATCTTTGATGAGATAGCCCCAGGTGGATCTGAGTGAGTACTGACTGAAGTTTCCCCAGGTAACGTTATTCCAACGTGTGGATGATCTGATTGCAGCCATCACATAGACTGATCACTCAAGGCTCCTAGAGGCTATCCAATGACTGGGATACAGAGTGTCTGCCAAGAAGGCCCAACTTTGCACCAGGAAGGCCATGTACTTGGGATTTGACCTCCAGGAAGATAGGAGATCCTTGTCCATGTCACATTAACAGACAATATTAGGAATTCCCATGCCATCAATGTAAAGTCGAGTCAGGGAATTTGGGGGGTCAGCAGGTTACTATAAGCGGGGCTCTGGATTACTGGTTTTAGTGACCTTTATGTGAAGTGACCAAAGGGTCTGAGGGTACCACTCAAAGGCTCTCTAACACCTCTGTCATGGAAGGATGGCAGTTCACCACTGACAGAAGACTAATCCTTCCCTAGATCCAGAAGGATGTTGGTACAACAATTACATAGCTGGATTCATCTAGGTAGGACTAAATTGACCAGTTTACTCAACAGGGACTACTATATCCCTGGTCTGACCAGATTCTACAAGATAAAGTCTCCAGATGTCTTGATTCATAGGTAACCAACACTACTGGGAGTTACTGAACTGAACTGCACCCTCCCCTTTGTCCTTTTTAAGAGTTAGAAATACTACCTGCTGATAAGTTATTTCTCCAGCAGTGAAATGAGCCAATTCAAGCCAGATTAGATTATATTAAACACAGTTTTATTGGAAAGTTGTTCTCAGGTGAGCTCATTGACCCCAGGGAAGGAGGCCAGAGAAGTCACCATAGGAATGGGGAGAAAGGAGGTGGGAAGAGAAAGTGTGCACGTGTAGAGTGAGAAGGAGAGCAAGGGAGACCAAGGTGTCTGGATTATATAGGGAAGAGCTTCTGGGGGCAGCCCCACCCCTGGGGTGGAAAGTTCAGGGCTAGGGGCACAGTATGCCAGGTAGGGACTGAAGGATGCTGGGAGAACCTGGAGGCCAGGACTGCTTTGGTATGTAAAATATGCACCTCAGCTCCTTGTCCAGGGGTCTGAAACCAAACATTCCAGCCTTTTGTTGATAATAAATCAATAAGGGTTGACGTATTCATCTATGACTTCTTCCTACTGACATTGGAGAATTGTTATGGGGGGGTAGGCCAAAAAGTTGGACTGTTAGCCACATCTGGGAGGAACTGGTTGTTTCCCTTCTGTCCAGGCTGTGGGACCATCTGGTGGTAGGAGTTCACAGACCTAGTTGAAGCAGTCTGTGAGGCTGGGCTGGAGCACCTGTAGGTAACTGTTTTGGTCCTGTAGCAGCAGGGTTCTCCTACCAAAGTCCAGGTGGACATCCCTGGTCTGGGCTGCTGCTTAGGGACATATTAATGTCCGAGGGCTATGCAGAACTGACCCCACTCCTCATCTGGAAGTCACAGGAGAACTGGGCCTGATGTGAGAGCAAGAGAGCTGACCTCACCCCAGCCAAGAGGAAATTTACTGAGTAGGTGAGGAGAAACATGGTTAGAGCAGGAAGAGGGGAGAAGCAGCTGAAGAGGTGAACTCTAGGTTGGGAGTCAACTATGGTGGGTGGCAGAAGCCCGCAGAAACAAACGATCCATACACGCATACCTTAGGAGACTATGTAGGAAGTAGTCAAACCAACAGCATGGTTTGGGTAGGAGAGGCCAAGCCCCTTGGAAGGGGCTCATATTCCTCCCCAGTTTCAGGCACCAGATGTATAAAGTGAGGACAAGACTGTTCCAATTATGGTTAGGGGGGAGGTTTTTATTGTAGATAGGAGGGAGAACACAGCCAGAGGCTTCTGGAAGAGTCCAGAGTGGAGAGAAAGTAGTAGATTAAACATGGCCAGCAGACTGACCCAGGCCTTAAGGGAGTTGGGGGAGTGGAGAAAAGAAGAGAAGTAAGGACCAAAAGAAAGGGGGAAAAGAGAAGGAGAACCAAGAAGGCACATGGCCGAAATGGCAGGGTTATACAGGAATGAGAAGCTGGGGGAAGGAAAGCCCATGAGCTGGGTTTAGGGTAGGAGTGAGATGAGAAGAGCCACAGGTACTGAGTGAGGCTAAGGGCCAGTGTGCTCTTTGGTATGCTAATAGGAACCACAGTTTGCCATTTGTCCTGAGTTTCTTTTGAACCTGACACCCAGGACTCACCTTCATCTAAACTGTCACTTATTCCCAAGGAGGGCCTCCACCAAACAGCTTCATACAGCAAACGACACCTGTGGTGGTTTGAATAGGCTTGGCCCCCATAGACTCATGTGTTTGGATGCTTGGCCCATAAGAAATAGCACTATTAGGAGGTATGACTTTGTTGGAGTAGGTGTGGCCATTTTGGAGGAAGTTTGTCACTGTGGGGACAGGCTTGAAGTCTCCTATGCTCAAGCTATGCCCCGTGTGGCACACAGTCTCCTTTTTACTGTTTGCAGATCAAGATGCAGAACTCTCAGTTCCTTTTCCAGCACCATGTCTGCCTAGACACTGCCACGATCCCCACTGTGATAATAATGGACTGAACCTCTGAAACTGTAAGTCAGTCTCAATTAAATGTTTTCCTTTATTAGAGTTGCCTTAGTCTGGATCTCTGTGAGTTCAAGGCCAACCTGGTCTACAAAATGAGTCCAAGACAGCCATGGCTGGTTATACAGAGAAACCCTGTCTTGAAAACCTGCCCTCTTTCCCCCAAAAAGAAAAAGAGTTGCCTCAATGGTGTCTCTTCACAACAATAAAATGATAGCTAAGACAACATCTGTAGAACCATTATCTTCTTATGATACATTAGACAACAACAGCAATAATTAGCACGGTCAGAGATGATATCAGTAGGAAGCGCCAGCCTCTGGGATCTAAAATTGGGAAAAACAAGAAATATTTTGGTCAACTCAAGAACAGAATGCTGGAATTATAAGTCATGGCCAGTGTGCCCTGGTTGAATTTATCATATTTTTTTAGCAGTACTGGGGATTGAATTTAGGGCTTCGTGCACGCTAGGAAAATACTCTACCACTGAGACTCAGCCCAAGCCCCCAGTTTTGCATGCGTTGTTAAATACAATTCCAGCTTTCATTCTTTCAAAGGTGTAGGTTCTTTTGCTGGTATTATTTATTGAAGAGGCTTCCCTTTCTCCACTGAATGTTTGGTGCAGGGGTCTACACATTACAAGGAATTATTTAAAATCCCATTAACACAGGAATGAGACAATGTGGGTTGTACATGATGATTCAGACATGAAAAGGTATGAAGCCCCGACAGAGCTTAACCCTAGATCAGCCTTAATACATGAGGCTTGGGTAGCTCAGTGGTTAAGGCAATCTTGCAGAAGACCCAGGTTCAGTTCCCAGCATGCACATGGTGGCTCACACCATCTGTAACTCCAGTCCCAGGTAATTTGACACTTCCTTCACACACATGGCACAGGCATACATGCAGCAAAACACCCATCCATGTAAAGAACACATGATGCTCAGGGACCCAGACACAAAAGCTACACATGGTGACTCTACCTCTGTGAACTATTCAGATAGACCAGGCCACTGAGGCAGATCATCCTGGAAGGGTCAGGGTCTAACAGAGATATACTTTTGGGGGACAGATTGTAACAGATAGAGGGGCTGGTATTCAGTGCTTGATGTCCACTTTGAAACAGTTAATACTATGGTATGTAAATTTTCGTTCAGTAAGAAGACAGTAATTAAAAATAAACCTGTTTTATTTGAAGCAGACCGACTGCACACTGTGTCAGCTGTGGAGTTGCATTCCTGGAGGACAGGGATTCCTTGGGGACACCTGCAGAGAGACACCCTCAGTTCTTCCTGCCAGACCCCTCAGGCCATCAGCAGCAGAAGATGTCCAGCAAAGCGTGACGCCACTCCAAACCACATCAGGCAGCGTCATGATCCAAGATCTGAAACAGTATTCTGGCCACACAGCTGTCACCAGCCCCACTGGAATCTCAGACAGTATCATGTGACTACCACTTAATACATGACATTTACTACATTTTCCTCCTCCGTTAATGTCCATAGCTTCTTTGGTGGCCTTGGAGTGAGGAAAAGGAGAGGCCTATCCAGCCTCTCTCAAGAGACTCAGACTTCAGATTCCACAGAGGAATAACATTCTTCGGCATGTGGCTTGTGCTGGCGCCCCCTAGTGGTCTAAAAGCTCAACAACTCCATCTGACTGGAGTGACTGTCTAAGGAGGGGCAAAACCACAGGATTTCCCCAGACCTGCCCAGCAGTTTTTTTCTCCAGTTTAACCCAGTCCTACATTCCCGAGAATGAAGGAGGCATTTCCCAGCCCTTCCAAACCCAAATACACCGAAGAACCCTCTGGAAGACACCACTCAGGAAAACCTAGTCAGGTGTTGTCTACTTTCTCTTGAGGGACATTTGCCATGGAGATCTCCAGCAAGAAGTCCTGTACCACCCAGACCACAAAGTCTCCACCACACAATGTCATCTGCCAAAGTATGAGACAGACTGTCCCTCTCTCTGGACATTAGAGGCTATTCATACAAAGCTACCACCTACCCAGGCTACAGTGGTACTTACTTGGTACATGGTTGGCACAATTCTGGAGATTCTGGGTCAGAGTAGTAATGTGTTTGGCATTGGCATTTCCGGTCACTGGTGGTAGAACAGTCAGCCACCATTTCCTGGTCTGCAATCCAGGGAAGAATAGGGTCAGGTTGAGGTAAGAACCCTCGCATATGCACACATACCCCACCATTACCTGAAAGGAACACAGTGTATAAAGGCTTCAAATTCCCATCACAGATGTACTGAGTGATAAACAGCACTGCTGTGAGCATCCTCATCCTCAGGCCTCCAGGGTGGTACCCAGACCTGAGATGATGACTTGGGAGGTCCATTGTTGAGCATCCTGTGCAACAGCATCAAACTGCCCTGAGGACTCCATCACTGGTGGTCTTGATTTGTAGGCCCTCTGTTGCCCCACAAGGTTCCCTCTCCAGAGGCCACCATCTCCATCAGACAGACATCTCTGAGGGTGCTTTATTTAATCACCCTATTGTTTTCTGAAGAGCACCTATTGACCATGTGTCCAGACCCCTAGTGGGTCCTTGGGCTCTGGGTATACACCTCTCGTAATTGAGACTTACTCAATGGTTTATAAAAGAAGATGGTTTTCCCATTGGGGTGTTCCATTTTAACCTTGTGCCTATAGTTCAGTGCACCACAAAGACTCAAGCTATAAATGTCACCTCTCACCATTCTCTGAAGCTAGACAGTATCCTTTCTTAGAGTACAGGAGGGAGCATGGGCGGGGAAGACTCTCAGCCCAGCTCTCTGCAGATGTCTTACAGCATCAGGGGATCTGTGATCGTGGAATATGGTTCTGTCTTTTTTGTTTTGTTTGAGACAATATTTCTCCATGTAGTCCTGGATGTCCTAAGCTTACAACATAAATCAGTCAGTGTAGAGACATTATCTTATGTCTGTATGGATGTGGCACCTGTCAGTAATAAGTCTGATGGCCCATGGTTTAGGCAGGAAACAGGAGGTGGATCAATTGGGAGAGAGAAAGAATTCTAGGATAGAGCCAAGCAGGAGATTGGTCCAGGAAGATGTGAGGAGATGGACACATGGTACCTGAGCACAGGTAACCAGTCATATGGCAGAATATAGATTAAGACAAATGGGTTATTCTAAGTTATGATCTAGTCAGAGAAGAGCCTAGCTATATGGCCAAGGTATTTGTAAATATATTTTAAGTACAAGTCTTATTTCTGGGAGCATGGAGCTGGGAGGAAGAACCAGAACCTAATTTCTACCATTAGGCCGCACAGTGAAGTGTCCTTTCTATATCTGCCTCCCGAGCTCCCGCTATGCTCAGCCTGCTTCCCTCTCCATGCTTAGTGGATGCGAGTGACAGGCTGAAGCATGAGATACTGTAGTATTTACCACTTAGTTTAACATGATTCAGTGGCATAGGAATATGTACATAGACACACATGCATGCACACACAAAACAGAATCCTTGCTCCCTCCCTCCCCCGCCGCTATGCTAGAAAGCAAACCCCAGGTCTTCTGCATACCAGGTCAGCCTCCACTGAGCTGCTTTCCCTCCAGCAACTGCTTCAAGTTTGTTTACTTTGTTTTGTTTGAGACTGAGTCTCACTATGTAGCTCTGTCTGTCTTTAAACTCACTATGTTGGTCAGGCTGGGCTTGAACTCACAGAGATCTGCCTCCAAGTGCTGGGATTAAAGGCATATGCCACTCTGCAGGCGTGGGCCTCATTTCTCTGCTGTTTCCCCAAATCTGCGTGCCCTCTGGCCTACTCTTTAAGCTCTTCTCTGTGTCTGGGAACTTACACACATGATTGCTTATGGTGATTTTTCTAAGTACCTGTGTATCTTTTACTAGGTTCTGCATTCAATTGACAACTAGGAGAAAAATTATCTTAAAAAAAATGGCAGAAGGCTATGATTGTAGTTTTTCTGACATTGTTTTTACTGAGTCCCTCTTACTCATAATGAATAATTTTTACCTTGGTTTGATTTTGAGACAGGATCTCACTGTGTAGTCTTTGGAACTGCCCCGGAACTCACTGTATACACAGGGTGGCCTCCAATTCAGAGACCAGCTGCTTCTGCCTCCTGTGTGCTGGGATTAAATGTTGCACAACCATGCCCATCGGTAAGAAACAAGTTTTTTGCCTGTGGGGACTCTCTGGCTGCATCCTGGCACCCATCAGTCATGGCTACTCCATCCCGGTACTGGACTAACATGCTTCTGACTCGATTGCCAGTTTTCACAGCTAGTCCAGTCTCTGCTCAGTCACACACTTACCTTTATAACAGGTGGAACAACGGTTACAAGAGTCCAAGCCATTTTCACTCTTTGTGAATGTTCCTGGCTCACACTTCTCACATTGTCCTGAGGTATGGGAGATCGTGCAGTGCTCCTGGGCAAACATACCTGGGGATGAGGGCAGATGGGATCAGCCTTGTCCCAGGCACACAGGGGTAAGGGGCTATGTAGCTCTAGGTAGGCTTAACATCTTTAGCACAAGTTCAAAATAATCTCTGGGCTGTCACAAACTGCTTGAGGATCTGTAAGGGCTGCTGGCTCCCTGAGCTATACTCAGTCCTGTGGATATCTGACCCTCAGGGAACTAGGAACCAAGCTAGCCTGGGGTGAGTAGAAAGAGCTCCTGACTCCCTGCTGGGCTCCTATAGGCCCATATATTTGAATGCTTGGTCACCAGGGAGTGACACTATTTGAAAGGATTAAGAGGTGTGGCCTTCTGCTCTTCCAGAGGTCCTGAGTTCAAACACATGGTGGCTCATAACCATCTATAATGGGATCTGGTAACCTCTTCTGGTGTGTCTGAAGACAGTGGCAGTGTACTCACATATATAAAATAAATAAACCTTAACAACAACAACAAAAAGAGGTGTAGCCTTGTTGGAGGAAGTGTGTCACTAGGGCTGGGCTTTGAGCTTTCAAGGGTCCAAGCTAGGCTCAGGGTTTGTCTTTTTCTGCTGCCTTTGGATATGGACGTAGAACTCTCAGCTACTTCTCCAGCATAATTTTTATCTATTTCAAACCTACCTCCAGTCAGGCTTCCTGCCATTGTGATAATGGACTAAATCTTTCAAACTGTAATCCAGCCCCAATTAAATGCATTCCTATATAAAAGTTGTGGTCATAGTGTCTTTTCAACTCTGGCTCCCCAGAGGTCGTGTAAAGAGCTTTGGGCATACAGTTTAATAAGTTGTCACCCATGCTGGAGTAATATTACAATATGCAGTTACCTTAGTCACCTATGGGCCTAAAGTGACACCAATAAACTCAATGGTTCACCAAACCGCACTGAGTAAATTGCTTCTTCGGTCTGTCCTCAATGACTAGTATCAATTCCTGTTACCTGGAGTGAGCAGTTGGTGTTCACATTTCTCCAGAAAAAAATTACATTACCAGGGTTCCCGATACAGGACACACGCTGGGAGCATAAGAACAAGCACAGAAATTGTCACCAAGATAGAGTGTGACCACAGCAAGCCACTTAAGATGTTCCAGCTCCACTTTCCCCATTGGAAGTGGTGGCAGTGGGGGTTGGGGGCATCCAGGCACCCATGGCAAGCACAGGTAGATGAAATTGACCCTCCCAGCTCCCTTTTCTAAACTTTCCTCTCAGCTGGGTGCCTTTGGATATGACATTGAACTCATGTCTTGCAGGGTGGATAGCTGGGTGACCCTACACTAGTGAGGCCTTGTTATAAATACTCAACACCAATGCTCTTGAACACACAAAGGGCCTCCTTTGGGGGGGGTCCTCTGTGTACTTGGGTTAGGAGGTACTTCCTAGAGTTGGAAAGAGTAGGCAGTGGCTGAGTTGAGCTCCCTGGTCCACATCCTCCTCATCTTGTATAGCCTCTAGCGTGCTTCAAAGGCCACCTATGTCTGTGCTCTGGCATTGGGTCCCAGTGAAGAACTCACCTGCAGGACAAAACTTGCAGCAGATGCCATTAGACAAGTATTCATCAAGGGGGCAGTTGGAGGGGTTCTGGCTCTGTCTGGAGTGTGATCCTAGCATAGGAAGAATTACCTGTGGGTGGAAGAGGACAAGGGGAAGCTTATATTTATTGGTAACTGCAGAGGATGGTTTGGAAGATGGTGGAAAAGGAAGTACCAAGGTGGGGCCTCCTTGTGCAGAGCACAGCAGGGACTATCTGATGCTATGCTGTAGTTGATGCTATGCCGTAGAACTCTGAAGCTTGCAGTTGCCCAGAGAAGGTTGCATAATACATCACTGCCAAGCCTGCTGACTCTTGGCTGATTGCTCAGCAGTATCATGCCCCCCACCCCACCCATCCCTAGTTCACTTCTAGCAGCCAGCAGTGCAGTTCTAGCACAACTTGTGACCTATGAGGATCCTGTCATCCAAACCTCAAGCTTTGATGGCTGCTTCCTATGGTGGGGCTGCAGATGGAGGCACCAGTTGGAAGAACCTGCAAACGGATAAAGGAGCGAGAGCTCTGCTTTGTTTTCTTTTCTTTTCTCTTTCTTTCTTTCTTTCTTTCTTCCTTCCTTCTTTCCTTCCTTCCTTCCTTCCTTCCTTCCTTCCTTCCTCCCTCCCTCCCTTCCTTCCTTTTAAGAATTGTTTATTATTTCATGTATGTGAGTACACTGCAGCTGTCTTCAGGCAGACCAGAAGAGGGAATCAGATCCTATCACAGATGGCTGTGAGCCACCATGTAGGTTGCTGAGAATTGAACTCAGGACCTCTGAAAGAGCAGTCAGTTCTCTTAACTTCTGAGCCATCTCTCTAGCCCCTGGCTTTTTCTTTTAATTCATCTTCTTCCCATACTATTTCTCTAAGTACCCAAAAGCTTTAGTTGTATTTCTTGGGCTGGAGAGATGGCAGCTGACAGCATATGCTAGCTAGGCAGGGTGGCACACATCTTTAATCCCAGCACTTGGGAGGCAAAGAAAGGTGACTCTCTGTGAGTTCCAGGATAGTCAGGGCTATGTAGTGAGACCCTGTCTTAAAACAACAAAACCAAAAAACCAAAAAACCAAAGAAAAACCCAAACATATGCTGTTCTTGCAAAAGGCCAGAGTTTGGTTGCAGCAACCATGTGAGAGGCTCAGTCACCTGTAACTCCAGCTCATGGGAATCTGATGCCATCTCTGGCCTTCTCAGGAATTGCAGGCAAGTGACATACTTAACAACCCTGTAGGAAACACTTATACAAATAAACAAAATCAAATCGTAAAAATCAATCAGTTAATCAGTTAATTTTGTTTAGTCTTTCATTATTCAAAGCCTCAAGTAACTGTAAAGAAATGACACGATTTTATTTTATCATAGTACTGAGGATTAAACCTAGGGCTCATACTAGCCACTAATTAATTAGCAATGTTCTATATTTCTAGCTCTGCAATAGATAATTTTAAAGATTTATATTTGTGTTTATGAGTGTTTGCCTGCTTGATTGCATAACAGCATGTGTGTGCAGTGACTGAGGAGGCCAGAAGAGGGCAGCAGATCCCCAGGACTAGAATTACAGACGTGTGGGTGCTGGGAACTGAGCACTGTTACTCTACAAGAGTAGCCCAGTACTTTTTTTTATGCACTCCAGATACTGATACATGCCACATGAAACAGAAGCAAAAACAAAACAAAAACAAACAAACAACAAAGCTTGATGTGGTGATCATTGATCATTGACAGTGGGTTGAAAGAACATGTGTGGAGCCATGATATCACAAAAGCTAATAGAGCCTATAAGTTAATAGGTGATTCACTCTTTACCATCATCATGTCTCGCTTTCCTCATCTGTAAAATGGGGATAGTACTATACCTACTACTTAGGGTTCTGAGATTAAATAACGCATGTAGAACAGCTGGTATGCTCCCAGCACATTCTACCTCCTCCCCACTTCCTTCTCTGAGTGATCTGCCTCAACTGATACCCAAACACGAGGAAGGAGCTCAAACTAAGCCCACAGATCAACTGAACTCTTTAATCCTTCCCCCCCAAAAAAAAACACTGAGCACTGAGGCTCACTTCTTTATATTTGCATTTGTATGGGGCACACTCTGTCACATGACTCTCCACAGCAGCAACCCTTAGGACCCATCTATACATTCATGGAAGCCGTCCTCACTCATCCGTTACCACTGTGCTCTGATTGCATAGCTAGCTGGTGTCGTCCTCAGAAGCTTCTTCATCTCCCCTGTGGCTCCAGCCTTCAGCAAGAGAGACTCTTTGGCCACAGAATACTCTCAGTCAGTCAGTCAGTCAGTCTCTCTCTCTCTCTCTCCCTCTCCCTCTCCCTCCCCCTTCCCCTCTCCTGCTCCCTCTCCCTCTTCATCTCTCCTCTCTCTCTCTCTCTCCCTCTCCCTTCCCCTCCCCCTCTCCTGCTCTCTCTCCCTCTTCGTCTCTCCTCTCTCTCTCTGTTCTCTCTCTGTTCTCTCTCTCTCTCTCCCTCTCCCCTCCCCCTCTCCCTCTTCGTCTCTCCTCTCTCTCTCTGTTCTCTCTCCCTCTCCCTCCCCCTCCCCCTCTCCTGCTCCCTCTCCCTCTTCGTCTCTCCTCTCTCTCTCTGTTCTCTCTCTCTCCCTCTCCCTCTCCCTCTCCCCCTCCCCCTCCCTCTCTCCATACATATATATAGCCTTCTGGTAGTCTCTGCCCATTTATTGTCTAGAATTCTGCCCTTAACTTGTCAGGCAGGAGTCTTCTCTTCAGGGTTCCTAGGTTCGATACCTACATCTTGGTATCGTCTTCACCATCATCATGTGTGGAATCCGACACTGCTCATCACTGCCCTGAAGGCAGTACTATTTCCCTTGAAGCTGGCCTGCTTCAGCTGTACTTTCATTTAGGAAGGATGTGACCACAGGTCAGACAATGGATTTGTTAGAATTTCTTTATAGCCCATGTCTTTAATCCCAGCAGGCAGATCTCTGACTTCAGGGCCAGCCTGGTCTACAGAGAAAGTTCCAGGACAGTTGGGACTACACATAGAAATCATGTCTCAAAAGACCAAAAAACCTGCACATACCCCTTAATTTTTTTAAATTTTAATATTCTTTGAGGATACTCTGGTTTGTTTTGTAATTCTTTAAAGAGATGTTATCGAGCCGGGTGGTGGTGGCGCACGCCTTTAATCCCAGCACTTGGGAGGCAGAGGCAGGTGGATTTCTGAGTTCAAGGCCAGCCTGGTCTACAGAGTGAGTTCCAGGACTGCCAGAACTACACAGAGAAACCCTGTCTCGAAAAACCAAAAAAAAAAAAAAAAAAAAAAAAGAGATGTTATCTTCAGTCTTTTAGTTTTGACTTTTACAGGACAGTATCTCATACACAGTTCTGGCTGTTCTAGAACTCACTATGAAGGCCAGGCTAGCCCCAAATACATAAACATCTGTCTACCTCGTTTCTCAATTGCTAGAATTAAGGACATGCACTACCACGCCCAGCTCATCCTCACTCTTTCCTTGAAGTACCTTCTTTTTGTGGCATTATTTGAGTCAATCATCACTTTGTCTTTATAACAACCTTAAAAAAAAAACAACTTAATATTGTCTAGATTGTTTCGGGGGGGGGGTGAGGGAGGGTTGGGGATTTAGCTCAGTGGTAGAGTGCTTGCTAGAGGCCCTGGGTTTGGTCCTCAGCTCCGGGGGGGAAAAAAAAAGATTGTTCCTGGGGATTTCTGGAGGACAAAATGCAGTACCAAGACTTCTCAGGCGGTGCCTGGGCAGGCATGGAGTTCCAGAGCCCTAATAGGCAGGAGCAGAGATTTCAGGGTCAAGGGCCATCCCATGTGAAACCTGGGTCCCGCCCGGGAACTCTGAAACCAGAGTTGCTTATCCGCTGGCAGCTTGCCCAGGAGATCCCCGCGGAAGCTGGATTCTCGCGCTGGGTCCGCTGAGTCTTAGAAAGCCGCTCAGCAACAGCTAGCAAAGAAGTACTGTTAACCAGCCCCTAAGTGGTTTTAAAAATCGCCAGTTACAAGTAAATGATCTCCAACTGCTCAAATACTATCTTAGAACAACCTAAGGATTATTTTGTTGTTGTTGTAACTAAAGATCTAAATGTGTTGCACAAATGGATATTCTTACAGGTTTATAAAACATAAATCTTCACTGCTTGGTTTTGGTTTTGAAGACTCTTATGAGAGAAAATTGACATAAAATTAAGTTGGCTGTAACCAAAATGTCATTTACAGGATTGTCTAGTTTTGTTTGTTTGTTTGTTTGTTTGTTTTTCAGCCTTTTTGTGTGTAGCTCTGGCTGACCTGGAACTCGTTATGTAGATCAGGCTGCCCACTGACTTAGGTTTAACTGCAGTTTACTATTAAAGAGACAAGGAGTGATCTCGGGACGAACTTAACAGAGTTCAGAAAGGCCCACGAAAGGCATACCCATCCCTTCCACACAGATCCTTTTGTAGTAGTTAGTACCCCAAGACCAGCCCGGCCGGACCCACCGGAGGCGCACAGACGACCAAGCACGTGCGCGGACCCACACCAGTGTAAATAAGCATCCAGAGAAAGTCAGGCGCCTTCGCGACGAACCGCCCCTCTTGTTCCAGCGCTCGGGGACCGGCGGGACACTTTTCTCCTGGCTGCGCGCTTGGCCATTTCCCTGCCTCTGCTCCACACACCACCCCCTATCCCCCAACTCCTGACCACTTCAGAGTAGACGACGTTCCGAGGTGTTGGTTGGCGGTGCCCAGGCTGACCCTGGCGCATCGCACAGCCGGCGACCAGTTCCCGCCGGCGGAAGGTTTTCCTCTGCAGCCCGGGGATCTAGTGCCCACACGCGACTCTCAGCTTCCCAGGGTCGTATCTACTCACCTGGAAGGGCAGATTCAGCAGCACCAGCGGCAAAAGGAACCTGCGACTCAGACTGGAGACGGACGCGGGAAAGCCAACCATGGCTCCGGGCAAGCACGCCGCCACTCTGCTCCTAGGAGGAGCTCTATTTGGTGGCCACGCCTCTGGTCAGCGCATTGCTTCCTATATGGTTGCCTAATCTCGTGGGCAGGTCCAGCGCCATCACGCTCGTGTCTCTCCCCATCAGTGCTGTTAATATCTAGTTTTCTATAGTCCAGATGTAATTTTAAATACCTGTGAAGTTATTAACAGAATCATATTTGTTGTAAGCAGCAAGCTTAAAGTCGGGTTCTCTGCCTTCGGGTTTTTTTTTTTTTTTTCATTACGGTATACTGCTCTTTATTATAAGTTAATGAAAAAATTTCCCGTGACTTGAGTGGAGGGAGAGAGACATGAACTAGAGAGAGTTGCGATCGTTATAAAAGACAGACTGTGGCAGATTGTAAACCTTCTCAAAAGCAACAAACAAAAAGAGAGGGAGAAAAGCCACAACACACCGCGAAGTTTGAAGTAACTCTACCCCTGTCGTATTCCTGTGAGTGGTCACTGGCCAGTGTTCTGGAGCGGCAGCTGAAGGCTTCTTTCTCTGTTAGGGTCCCGAGGAGCTGTGTGGAACCTGCTGACCCAGGACTGGTCGACAACTCTCCCAGTGTTGGGGGCAGGAGGGAGCCCTGTATGAACTTCCCTGGACTGTGGGTCCCTCTTTTTCTTTTCACTGTGTTTAGCTCCACTGTGTGTGCCAATCTGAGCTCATGGGACAGAGGACATTTAAGGCAAGTCTCCTAGCCTGACACAGGAAGTAGAACTCTCATTTCTCTCAGGAACTTGGGTCTAAGATAGTTGATTCTTCTGTTTCACCTGACTCCTCCAGGTATTTGAAAAGGTGGCCACTACCAGCCCCATCCATCTCCCTTCCAAATGAGGGAGGAGGACTCAGAGGCCTAGATTTCATTGGCTAATCCCAAGAAGAGGAGCCTGGCTCCAGGCAACTGGCACTCTTTAAGTCATCTCTCGCCTGTCTCCCTAGGGCCAGGAAGTGGAGCCTGTGCCCATCTGCCCTCACCTAGGCTGGGTGGTGGGAGGGGCCAACTTTTGGCCAGCTCGATGCCCTTCTTGTCTTCCCTCAGGCCTGGTGTCTGCTCAGGAGTAAACCAAATCAAAACACAAACAAGTGTCCTTGGAATGTTTGACCATTCCCTCGAGGTTAGTTCAACACTCTGAACTGTTCCCCACCCTTGGGAAGCAGAGGGAAAGTGGGGAAGGGAAGAGGAAAGGAGTGTCTACTTGTGGATGCTGTTGTCCTACCAGCCTCTGAGAAGCTGGCAGCAAGGGAGGCTAGTGGCCTTCCTTTTCTGTACACACATTCCAGATCTGCCTTGTCCCACTCTGCAGGGGGAAGAGAGGTGAAAGGAAGAGGCCTGTCTACCTCAGGCTAGATATTTGTTCCCCAGGTCTTTCTCTGACCTCTGGTCCTTTAAAACATTTATTTTAAAATGTGTGTGTGTGCTCGCGCGCGTGCGTGTGCACACAAGCAGGTACATCCAGAGCCTAGAGGTGACAGATCCCCAATAGCTGGAGATACACATGGTTGTAAGGTGCCTAATGTGAGTCTGGAAATCAAACTGGGGTCCTCTGCAAGAGCAGTGCATTCTCTTAATGGCGGGCCATCTCTCCAGCCATCTCTACCCTTGCTTTTTAAAGTGGGATGGTGGGATGTCATACCGTTCCAGGAACTCCCTAACGGATCTAGGCAGTTGAGTGACATTCTCATGAGCCCAGTGGCCCTTGATGGTCTTTCTGCAGAGATGAAGGGTGCCCACAATGGAAGAGTGGGGCTGGTTCAATACCAGGGGAATCTTCCCACCCCTAGATGAGATGTGTCATCTGTTGTAATAGATATATGTGATAGATCTTCTTGGGATACTTCCAGGTTGCTGCTGGGCAGCTTGCTACCTGGGAATATGTGAGGATCTTGTTTTTTCTCCACCATTTCGACAGTGCTGATCTAGTAATGTTTAATCACTACACACCGTAATTAAAGGCTACAAGGCAAAGGAAAGGCCTTGGGAGGGGAGGGTGGCTCTTGAGCTGGGACAAGAACTCAAGGAATGGTATGGAGAGACCAGGTAGTTAGTGTGGCCTGTGGGTCCAGCTTGGGGCTTTTCTCTTTTGTGCTCATTTCTATGTATTGGCACATTCAATGGGTTACATCTTAGGGTGAAGGCAGTGTAGTATCCTGTCCATCTCTAGGCAGATGATCATGTTGTCACAAGTCAACCTGTCTCTTACAGATGCAATTTGGTGGGACTCATTGGAAACCTTTACAAGTTTTTCAACATCTTCAAATAAGTTTATATACAAATTATATACCAACACCCACAGATCCAGGTGACAGAAAATCTGTTATGGTTTGCCTATTGCTATGATAAAAGCCATGACCAAAAGCAACTTGGGGAAGAAAGAGTTTATTGGGCTTACAGGTCACATTCCTTCATGGAGGAAGACCAGGGCAGGAACTTGGCGGTAGGAACTCAAGAAGAGGTCTTGGAGGAACGCTGTTTACTGGCTTGTTTCTCATGGCTTGCTCAGTCTGCTTTCTTATACAACCCAGGACCACCAGCCCAGGGGTAGGACCACCAGCCCAGAGGTAGGACCACCCACAGTTGTCTGGACCATCCTATATTAGTGAAGAAAATGTCCCATGAGACATGTGCACAGGCCAATACGATGGAGACAATTCTTCAGTCCATGTTCCTTCTTCCCAGATGACTAGTTTGTGTTGAGTGGACAATGGAAGCTAACTATGACAATCTCTTAACACCACTGTATAAAAGATTTAGAAAAAGAAACATTAGAAGCTAGAGAAAGGCTCCTAAGGAGTCTTCTTTAGGAGAGTCTGTAAGACTCTAGAGTCAAGAACAGTTACTGCTCTTGCTTGGCAGATAAAGGCACTTGTTGTCCAAACCTTAAAACCAGAGTTCAATCCCCAGGACCCACATAAAGGCAAAACCACAGGCCAGGGAGTGCTGGCTGGTGGCACACACCATTATTCCCAGCACTCGGGAGGCAGAAAATCTTTGAGTTCTAGGCCAGCCTGGTCTACAGATCAAGCTCAGCCTGTCTCTGCCTCCTGACCCAAGAGTTAGGAATAAATGCATGTGCTACCACACTTGAAGCCACAAGTATTCTGACCCACTCCCAAGCCCCCAACTCTCCTGCCTGGATCTCAGCCCAGCCTGACTCGAGACCAGCCCCACAGGAGCTCTCAGCTTCAGCTCCTCCTGTCCCAGACATCTTTCTCCTTTTCACCAATGCTTGGGCATTCTGCTGCAGCCACTACAGATGTCCAGGGGCTCAGGCTCACCTCACAGGGTCCTCCTTCCCAGTGTTGTCCTCAAGGAGATCCAGCCCTGATCCTTCCTCTCTGCTAGCTCCAGCCTCATAGGCACAGTTGCCTTCCTGCATTAGCAGCAGAGTGGACAGACAAGCCCTGGGCATGTAAAAAGAAGCTAGATTCTGCAAGCAGATGGGCCTTTAAAGCTTAGCCAGGTGCCCTGCCTGGACTCAACCCTCGGGGCTGGGTGTGCCTATCACTCTGTCAGGGGAACTAGCTTCCCTCAACACCACTCCATACTTCCCCAAATCCCTTGCTGGACCAAATCCAGGATGCAGATGATTTCTTATCTGGCAGTCAAGACAATTACCTGTTCATTGCAGTGTCTTTTTTTAGGTTTTAAAAATAGACTCAGAGAGACATTCCACAACCATTTTATGAAGGTCTGTGGAAAAAAATAATAGAGCAGGCAAACTCTAAGTCTTGGCATCTGCCAGAGGAAGGCAATGAACAAGAAGAAATATAGCCACATCCTTTAGGTTAGTGTGCAGGAAAGTACTGGAGGTCTGCAAGGAACCATGGAACTGGAAGACAGAGAATTCAGGAGGACATTCCAAATATCCAGATGTATGATGGTGTTGTGAGGAACAGGACCTAGTTCTGTGTGGGCCCAGGGTGCAGGAGAGAAGGTGAGGAGTTCAGAGCTTCCTGTCTACACTGGAGACAGAGATGTCTGAGGTATAAAATGGCCACTTGCAGACATCCATGCTCCACGGTGACTGGCTGCTTTATGGAGGCTCCAGGAACAGGAGCCTCTAGAGGAGTCCTGGGCTGGGTAGGTGCATAGCCACTTGATTCATCTTTGCTTCACCCTCTCCTGGCACCTGAGGTGGGGAGGCATCCATGGGGTCCCCTCTCATGGGTGTTGTTTGGCCACCTTCATCCCCTCTGGTCTCTGTTATCTTCCATCGTGCCCTACCCCCAGTCTTGAGCAGGCCTGAAAGACCTTGTTTACCACAATAGACCAAATAATAGGACCTAGGTGGAGTTACCCACCTTGACTGCACATACAACTGCTACAGGAACTTAGAAGAATAAACTGTCCACTGAGCTTGCTTTGAGACATCTCCGGCAGTGACTAAGGATGGGTTCCCCCCACCCATCTCCGGCAGTGACTAAGGATGGGTTCGGTGGGGCTTTCCCTATATATACAAGAGCTGAATATTAAACTTCGAGCCTTGATCAGAAAACTTTATCTTGGCTTCATGCTTCTCTCACCCTTCCGTCCCTTTCTTCATTTCCAGGTCCCCTTTCAGGTGAATCCAGTTGGTCCCTGGCCGTAGGTGGCTACATTCCATGTGTTGTTAAGGGGGCTACAGCTTCCCTTTGAGGTGGTATGGGGTGTGTTGTCAGATGCCAAGGGATATTCTGGATTCCTCAGAGCTATCTCAGAATACAGAAGCTTAAGCATTTCAGTAAGGTTGTGTCAGCTACAGCAGGCTGCCCAGTCTGAGTGTCTCCCTTACTTAAAGAAATGGGCCCCATCCTTTCCCTCCCTTGCCCAGTTCTAGGAGCTCCCTGGAAAGCCCTTGCAGGCCACATCCCTCCCACACTCACAGTTGCTCACTGGTTGGCTGATGGGACTCCAGCTCCCAACAGCTCCAGGTGAGCTATCTTCTCACTTGACACTGTGGACTTGCACCTATCTTCTGGACCCCTCACTTGG